TAAGACCGGCAAGAGTGGCTTCCAAATCTTCTATACTTATCTTGCTGGATCTGTCCGCTGCTTTTGACACAGTTAACCACCAGATCGCGCATAAAATTTATGCCAGCAAGAATGCAAGCTTTTATCAAGGCCAAAAGGGGCCATACCAAAAAATAAAAAATTATATATTTATTTTGTATTAGTTTTTTGGTTATTATGTGTGAATAAAGACTATTTAGTTGTTTCAGTTTGTTATTTGCCTAATGACCATACAATTTTTTTTGTTTTAAACAATACGTTTTTGACGGGTGGTCTACGTTAATAAATTTGTTAAGCACTAGCTACATAGTTTTGTGCGGATTTGAACTGAAAATAAAACTTAGTCAACGAAGTCAATAAAGAAAAGAAAATAAACAACTGGGAAACGCACAGTTTACCTGAATTCACCCTAATTTTAAGTATACCTATTTTTAGTTTAAAAAAGTAAACAAATAGCACAATTGAATAAACTTTGTTTTTGTAAGGGCTGTTTTGTTTTATAGCCTATAATTGTTTGATTACATTTTGTCAGGCTGTTTACTGGTAGGTTCTGGTAACTTATTTCTAATAGCAAACGTTGGCATGAGCTAGTTGAAAATGTTACAATGTTTTACAAAAACCAGACAGCAGCGCTCACGTGCTCTCAGTCTGGTACGTGCCGCTCAGTAATGACATAGATATGTATAGATTCCGTATTCGACCGCTCCGGATACGTTGACGCGTCCGCCATCTTGGAACGGTCAACTTGATGTTATTCACCATAATAATCAATGAATATTCAAATATATACAAGCGTATAACTTGCTGTTGTAGACGCACACAGTCAACGCGCTCAAAGGTTCGCAGGCCGTTCCAAAAATCGCGGATGGCTTATGTATCGCGGCCCATAGCAACAGTGGCAAATGAGGCATCTACGTATATCTATGATCACAACACACAGGAGCGTGTGAATGGCCCTAGTGACCTTACGACGACCGCATTCCTGTCTGGAGTCTGCTATAAATAGATCGGGGAGATGATGAATGACACACACCTGCCTCAAACTGGACATGATGCAGTCCTCCTCTCTGACCGAGCGCGAGAAGAGCATCCCCGCAGCTGACGGCTGTTTTCAGATGTGGCGAGATTACATGGACCTTCGCTGGACCCTGTCGCAGCTGCTGCAGCATCGCGACGGAGCACAAGCCGCAGATGTTCGCGAGACCCCCGCGGAGGCTTTCGTGGGAGCCGGTTCCAGCAGCAACGTCTCCAGCAGCAACGTTTCCAGTATCTCCGCCTCCTCCAGCCGCGGCCTGCGGACCCCGCGGGACTTCTGCGGATTCTGCCATAAAAACGGAGAGATGCCGGTGGTGTGCATGAGTCACAGACTGAAAGCCCGAGACGGCCGGATCCTCTGCCCCATCCTGCGAAGCTATGTGTGTCCGTACATAGTTACATGCAGTGTAATGTTACATATGTTTATGATGTTCTTATGAAGGTTTCCATATAATGGTGCACTATATGGGATCAATATAAGTGTTGCATACAACAGTAATTGTCTATGCTTTTATACTAATATGTAGTTTTATTACATTTAATCATCAGAGAAGTAATTTATGCTTTTTGAAAGCACAATGTTTAAATGACGTCATTTAAATGACGCATTGTTCAAATGATTAAATAAAGGATTTACAGAAGGTTTTTGTGTTATTGAAAATGAAATGAAACATGCGACAACAAACCATTAAAATTTGTATTAAAATTTAATTTTAGTGAAGTTATCAAAATTATGTTAAGATAACTTGATTTAATTGCACAGAATTAACATGATCAAAGCATATATCTAAAATAAAATAATAATGTTAAGCTAACATAACTGAATTATGTTAGGATAACTTGAAAAGACTATGTACACATTACTTTTTGAAAATACATCTGATTAACACAAAAGTATTATAATGAAACCACATAAATGCGTAGGACACTCTGAACTCAAACTGAATGTGTGGAACCAATGTCCATAATTCAATTGAGTAAATCCAACAAATCTTTTTTTTCAGTGTA